TTCAAAACCAGCAGCAAAATACATACCTTCAGGTGTCTAGACACCCCAGCAGCAGCAGCAGCAGCAACAGCAACAACAACAACCAGCAGCAGCAGCAGCAGCGGCAGCAGCAGCATTACGGTGCTAGCGAAGAGCCCCTGCCCTGATGTTATTGGGTTGGGGTGTACAGACGGCAGAGTGCTGGTTATAGATATAAAGAGAGATGAAGTGCTGTTGTGTTTTCATTTAGCAGCAGCTCAGGGTGCTGTTACTGCTTTAGCGTTTCGTATGGATGCTGCTGCTGCTGCTGCTGCTGCTCCTGCTCCTGCAGCAGCAGCAACTGCAGCAGCAACCCTCGTCAGCGGCAGCAGCAACGGAGATCTCTGCGTGTGGGGTCTCAAAGAAAACCGTCTCCTGGAGACGATCCCAGAAGCCCACAAAGGCAGCGTTGTGCACATTTACTTCATGCCCCACCAACCCCTCATGATTACCTCGGGTAAGGGTTTAGGGTTTAGGGTTTAGGGTTTAGGGTTTAGGGCTTAGGGTTTATGGTTTAGAGCTTAGGGTTTAGGGTTTAGGGTTTAGAGGTTGGGGGTTTTAGGGAATTTTAAAAGGGTTTCGGGTCTGTAGGGGTAGTCGTGCAGCAGGCGGAGACCTGTAGAGCTAGGGTTTAGGGTTTAGGGTTTAGGGTTTAGGGTTTAGGGTTTAGGGTTTGGGGTTTGCAGGGAGCGACAACGCGTTAGTGGAGTGGATATTTGACAACCCTGATGGAATACCGAGAGAGTTGAAGGCCCGCAGAGGCAACATCGGCACTGTCACCCACATGCAGTTCTATGGTGAGGGTTTAGGGTTTAGGGTTTAGGGTTTAGGGTTTAGGGTTTGGGGTTTAGGGTTTAGGGTTTGGGGCTGGACGCTGCGCGGGATTGAGCGGGTTTAGGAACTGTTTGCAAATTCTAAACTTCTTTCCTTTTGATGTTTGTTTGTGCTTGTGAGTGTGTAGGGTTTGGGGGGTCTAGGGTTTAGGGTTTAGGGTTTAGGGTTTAAGGTTTAATACATATACACTAAAGAAAGAACTGGTGTTTGCGTATTCGGTGGTTGCATTGGTTGCTGCGGCGTGTGAATTCATTTGATCTCCATTCTTCTTTCTTAGGGTTTAGGGTTTAGGGTTTAGGGTTTAGGGTTTAGGGTTTAGGGTTTGTGTGTAGGGCCCGAGGGGAACCAGCTGTTGGTTGCAACATCTCATGGAGGCCGAGGGTTTTTAGGGTTTACGTCTTTAATTCAACAACACCAAACCTGCATCTTCTCTCAGAAGAACCTGAAGGGCAAAATGCAGGCACGTCCAGGGTTTAGGGTTTAGGGTTTAGGGTTTAGGGTTTAGGGTTTAGGGTATATAATGGGTTTTTTTGTTGGTTTTCTTTCGTTTGACTTGAGATGCTCATTCTCTTCCTATCCCCTGTTGTTTAGGGCTTAGGGTTTAGGGTTTAGGGTTTATATGGTGTTTCAGGGGGCTGGAGCTTCTATACGGCGTTTAAAAGGGGTTGTTGATTTATCTTTTTCTTTTAATCGGCACTATGATTGGCCGGCTGTCGTTACAGCTCACGCGAAGACACATCCTGTCTTTGTTTGGAGTGCACACAAGAAAGCACTTGTAAGAATATACTTTTAAACTAAATAAAATTTAAAACTCTTTTTTGTGTTTGTTTTAATATATTATAAACCCTAAATGCATTTTTTTGTGTTTGTTTTAATATATTATAAACCGTAAATGCATTTTTTTGTGTTTATTTTAATATATTATAAACCCTAAATGCATTTTTTTGTGTTTATTTTAATATATTATAAACCCTAAATGCATTTTTTTGTGTTTGTTTTAATATATTATAAACCCTAAATGCATTTCTTTTTGTTTGTTTTAATATATTATGCACTCTATATACTCTTCTTTCTGTTTAATATATTATAATCCCCAACTTAATTTATTTTTATTTATTTAAATATATAATAAACCTTAAATTAATTTATTTTATTTATTTACCCCGAATTAATTTGTGTTGATTGCATGCAAACACCAAATTATTAAATATAATAAAAAATGCATATCTAAGCAAAATAAATATAAAAGGTTTGTTTAACTAAAATAAGAGATGTTTATTTAAATAAAATAAATATAAAGGGTTTATTTACATAGAAATATATATTACATTACAATATATATATATATTTTTATATTATATTATGTTATATTTTATTTTATATAAAACATATCTATATGAATATAAAATGTTTACTTAAATAAAAACTAACAGATGGTGTGTATGCGGTGTGTTCATCTATCTTTTTATTATTTATTATTTATTTATTATTTATTTAATTAAAAAATTATATTTTTTCTTTTTATTCTCAGGAGCCGCGTGTCTTGACGCCCCCATCTCGCTGCGGTGTATCTGCAGCAGCAGCAGCAGCAGCAGCAACAGCACTTTGCTGCAGCAGCTGCGGCAACTTCGTTGTAGTGGGTTATGCAGACGGCCGCATGCATAAATTTAACCTGCAATCATGTTTACATCGGGGCGAGTTCTTGCGCAGCAGCAGCAGCAGCAGCAGCAGGAAGCAGCAGCAGGGAGTCGAGAAGGCGCATAAGGGATCGGTTTGTGGGGTTAGTATGATGGGGGCTTCTGTTGTTATTTCTGCTTCTTCTGACCCTGAGGTGAGAAGAAAGAAAGACACAGCAGCAGCAGCAGCACAACCGCTTCCCTGTTTTGGATTAGCCAGGCCGCCCTAGGGTTTAGGGTTTAGGGTTTAGGGTTTAGGGTTTAGGGGGTGTCTTTGTCTTTGGAATCATTTGAGTTGCTGCTGCTGCTGCTGCAGCTGCTGTATCACACTATGCGGTTCGTTTTAAGTGCTGCTGCTCCTGCTGCTGCTGCTGTTTGTTGTTGCTGCTGCTGTTTGTTGTGTTGTTGACCCTGCTGTTTGTTGCTCTGCTGCTGCAGCTTGCTGCTGTTGCTGCACGAGTTGTAGCTTCTGCTCTACCTGCTGCAGCAATTGCTTTTGCTGCTGCTTTTGCTGCTGGTGCATCATTTGGTGGTGCTGCTGCGTCTTTTGCTTCTACTGCTGCATGTGCTGCTGCATCTTTATAATTTGTTTGTGATGTTTGATTATAGGAGTGCAGCATATCATACTGGGGTCTGCAGCGAGGAGAGTATAGAAGCAGCATAAGTTTGCTGCTGCCAGACGGTAGCAGCGGTGGAGGTATAAGTTTTTTTAAGGTGTGGGGTGTATTGTTAGCTGCGGTGTATCGATGCGGATATGTTTGTTTAGTAGACAGTTTATCTCAGAGCATTATTCGCTTAATAACATCTATTGATTCAAATATACCTTTACCTACAGCTTCTTGTCTTACATTCTCCCCCGAAGGAACCTTTCTTGCTGCGGGGTGTATAGACAGCTCTCTTTGGGTTTATGATATACTTGCTGCTTCTGTTGTTGATTGGATGTCGTTCAAGAAAACTGTTAATTCTTTAGTCTTTCACCCTAACGGCGCTCGTCTATTTACTGCACACAGCCAAACTGAGGGTAAGACATTATTATTATTTATTATTATTTATTATTATTATTATTGTTATTGTTATTGTTATTATTATTATTATTATTATGTTTGTTATTATTATTGTTATTATTATGCTTGTTATTATAGTTATAATTATTATTGCAGCAATTAGAATGCTGATAATAATCATAAAACATAGTCATGGTAATATAAACTTAAGGCGAAATGTACACGCATATATATACATATATATATATATATGCACATGTGTATATGCATACATGTATATATATATATATATATATATGATACTAATAATAATAGTAGTAATAATAGTAATAATACTACCAACAATATAATAATAATTATAATAAATAATAATAATAATAATAATAATATTAATAAAACAATCGATAGCACCAGCAGCAACAAAAGAAGAAGCATAAAAGATAATATATTTTTGATGTATGTTTGTAGGAAATATATATGAATGGTACAACAAACATGTCTTCTCTCTTTCTCTAGAAAAACCTCTCTTGCATAAAACCCCTAAAGAGCCGAAGCTATTAACAAGAGCAGCAGCAGCAGCAGCAGCAGCAGGATCAGCAGCAGCAGCAGAAGAAGAAGAAGCAGAAGAAGAAGAAGAAGAAGATGACGAGGAAGCTGCTGCTGCTGCAATGCTAAGACATTATAAAAGCAAGGAAACCCCCTTAGCCCCTGGAGCACTCACACTCTCGGGTGTATCGGCATCTCGATTACATGCTATTTTATATGTAGATGAAATTAAAGAACAGTCAAAAGTAAGGAAATATGCTGCATTGAGGCTTGCTGCCAGCTGCTGCTGCTGCCGCTGCTGCTGCTGCTGCTGCTGCTGCTGCTGGTTGGGTGTACGTGCTGATGTTTCTGCTGCTGCTGGTTGAGTGTGTGCACTGCTGCTGCTCTTAATTGCTGCTGCTGCTGCTGCTGCTGCTGCTGTTTTATCAGTTGTTGGTGCGTTGGCGTTTGTCTCTCTTCTTACTTTCTTCATCTTCCTCTAGGAAGATTGTTTTTTGTTTTTCTTTGCTCGCGCGTTCATTCGTTTGTTTTATGTTTGTTTATTTGTTTTATATTTGTTTATTTATTTCCTTTGTTTATTTGTCTTATATTTGTTTATGCGTTTATACTTGTTTGTTTTATATGTATTGGTTTCTATTATATTTATTTATTCGTTTATATTGATATGTTTGTCTTGTCTTTATATACTCGTATACTTATTTATTTATTTATGTGTACATTGATTAATTTGTTTTCTCTGATTTGTATATATATAATATATATATTTATTTACATGTTAATATATATTTGCTTATATATATATATTTATTTATTTATATTTATTTATATTTATTTATTTACTTGCAGCCCTCTTTACCGCCTGAGCCACTGCCAGACGTTCCCTTTTTTATACCATCGCGTTTTGATGAAGGCGGAGGTGTAAATACACCTGAAAAAGAAGAAGAAGAAAGCGAAGAAATAAAGAAGAAAAAAGAAAAAAACAGCAGCAAGACCAGCAGCAGCAACAACAACAACAACAACAAATTTAAATCGCAGTTACAGCGATTGCTTGCGGCAAAGACAGACAATAAAGAAGAAAAATATACAAGTGAGTATATATAAATATATATTTATATATTTGTAGAAAGAAGTATGCGGTGTATATACACCTGAGCTGTTCCTTCTGCGGTGTACATACACCTCTTTGCCCTGTTCAATTTATTATTTATATTTTATTTTAATCTTTTTCTTTATACTCAGATATTTTAAACTTCTTTCATAGCTGCTCTCCTACAGCACTAGCATTGGCTATAGGAGAGTTAGGGCCTTCTGCTATGGGGACAGAAGAAGAGGTAAAAAGAAAAAGAATTTGTTTTGTTTGTTTTGTTTGTTTGTTTTATTTCTTTTGTTTATTTGTTTTATTTGTTTTATTTGTTTTATTTTCTTTGCATGTATAACACGTCATGACTATAGACGAAGTATGCGTCTTTTGCTTTTTCTTTTTCTCTTTCTTTTGTCTTCTTCTTTTTCTTCTTCTTGCCTCCTCGTTGCACCCCTTTGTTGATTTGCTAATCCGGAAAGACAGACGCTTTGGGCTTATTATCATTTAGGGGTAGAGATGAGGGTTTAGGGTTTAGGGTTTAGGGTTTAGGGTTTAGGGTTTAGGGTTTGTGTGCAGATATTGGAAATGCTTCGTTTCTTCCGTTATCATCTTCTGTCTCGAGCGAATGCCGATTTTATTCAATGTATCCTTTCTGTCTTTTTGAAGGTATTGTTTTAATTTTAATTTTAATTTTAATTAATTATTTATTTATATATATGTATATATATATATTCGCTTGCTTGTGTTCTGTCTCTTCTCTCTCGCTCTGTTGCTGTTTCTTTATGCTTCTCTTTATCTTTTTGTCTTTCTTTGTCTGTCTATTCGTCTTCCTTTTTGTATCTTTCTTCTCTCTATTGAGTGTTTGTATTTATTTTATTTGTTTGTATGTCTCTCTCTCTCTCTTTCTTTGTTTGTCTCTTGCTTGCTGTCTCCTCTTGATTTGTTTCTTTTATTTGTCTGTCTCCTTACCTTTGTTAATTTGTTTTTATTTTTTAATTATTTATTTTCTTTTTAGGCTCACACACAACTCTTCTTGCTGGACACCGATGCAGAAGCAGCAGAAGCAGCAGAAGCAGCAGCAGCAGGAGAAGCAGCAGCAGCAAAAGAAGAAGAAGAAGAAGAAGAAGAAGATAGTTTTTCTTCTCGTTGTTTGTCTTTATTAGAAGAAATACAAAATATTATTGCTGCAGATTGGAGTGTATTAGAAGAGCAGTTTCTGCAGGGAGAATATACATTAAAGTTTCTAACTCATTTACAGACAGACTAAAACTAAATAAAACAAAATATATTAATTTCTAATAAAATAAATAATCAAATGTATAACAAATAAAACATTAAGTGCATGCATTCATCATTAAACAAATAAAATATTAAACAAAACATTTACAAAAGAAATAAGATATTTAGAAAGAAATAAAACAGTTAGAAAAGGAATAAAACAAAAATAAAATAAACGTCTCCGGGTTTAATTGTTTTATATTAATGAATGTTTGTTTTAATATATATATATATATACATAAACATATACATAGAATATTTATATGTGCATCTATATATATATATATATATACATATATACATATATATATATATATATATATATATATATTGAGACAAACCTTTTTCTTTTCTTTCCCTTGGCTTTAACAAAAACAAACGCTTTTTCTTTTGTGAATTTGATGATAGTTTGAAGAGATATTTATGTTTAGTTTATTTATGAAGAATTAGATAAACCCTTTACAAACCCTAATGGGTATTTGTTTCTTCTTTGTGGCTTCTCCCTAATAAAAAAACAAATAAACCTTTAAACGCTTTTCTACTTCTCTGTCTCTTACTATATATATTATTTATTTTGTTGCTTTTACATACTTTTTTTGTATTTCTTCGCTGCTCTTCTGATGGGTTTGAAGACAAAAAAAACAGCAGACAGAAAACAAATATAAAAACAAACAGACGAAGAAGAATAAACGCACATAAAACATATATATATATATATATTATATCTAAAAATGCACAATGTATATACATAACATATATAGTGTATATATAAATAGCACAACATATATATATATATATATATATATATATATATGAGGTGTGCGTACACCTTGGCGAGTTAAATATGTTGAATATGTTGGTTTGTCTTCAGGGGCTGTGCCTGAAGGCCCCAAACCCTAAGCCCTAAACCCTAATGCGGCTATTCTTGAAGCAGCAGGCGGCAGTAACCCTTTGTTCCTTTCCCTCTAAACCCTAAACCCTAAACCCTAAACCCCGAACCGCCTAGAAATCGATTTATAAAACCTCACAATGCCTTAAAATCTAAACAAATAAACAGCAAAAGAACATTACAACACCTCTGGCAGTTCCGCTTGGGGGCCCCCACTGCCCAGCCAGGCGCAGTAGGGGGCCCCCAAGGGCCTTAAGGGGGCCCCCCTTAAGAAGGGAATATCCTACAGTTGGGGGCCCCCTTAAGGGGGCCTTAAGGGGGACCCCCTTACGGGAATACCCTAGTTGAGGGCCCCCGTAAGGGGGCCCCCCTTAAGGGAATATCCTACGGTTGGGGGCCCCCTTAAGGGGGCCTTAAGCGGGCCCCCCTTAAGGGAATATCTTACAGTTGGGGGCCCCCTTTAAGGGGCCCCCCTTCAAGGGAATACCCTGCAGTTGGGGGCCCCCTTAAGGAGGCCCCCAAAGGGGGGCCCCCCTAAATGGAATCCCCTACAGTCTGAGGCCCCCTTAAGGGGGTCTTAAGGGGACGTAAAGGGGCCCCCCTTAAGAAGGGAATACCCTGCAGTTGGGGGCCCCCTTTACAATATCCTCCAACTGGGGGGCCCCCTTAAATGTACAAATGAATCAACAAGTGGGGGCCCCCAGACCCTAATAGGGGCCCCCTTAAAGGGGCCCTTAAGGGTTTGACCCAGCATTGGGGTGCTTGTTTGTTTGTTCTTATTTGGTGTTTGTTTCAGTCTGTATATTAATATTTTTATTGTTGTTTATTTATGTGATTGTTTATTGCGTTTGCTGCGGGTCTCTTCCTTATTTGCTTTTCTCTTATAAGCATTTCTTTCTTTTTTCAAATTAACATCTTTACCGTCTAAACCCCCTGAGGGGGGCCCCCCTTTGAGGGGGGCCCCCCTACGAGAGGGGCCCCCTTTAATGGGCCTCTCAATATACCCCCACAGACTCCGCAGACACTGCACGTTATCTACCATCTCCTGTGCATGCAGAAGAAAGAAACAAACAAACAAATAAATAATTAAATAAAGACAGAAGAACTAAACTATAAACAACAAATATATATATATATATATATATATATATAGACAGGCTGGCATTTACGCACTTTATGTTCAATGTAAGTTCATTATTTGTCTACTGATTTGTTTATTTGTTCGTTTGATTGTTATAGGGGAATAGCGTTTGTTGGTGTACACATAATTTTATCATTTATATAGTGAATGCTTATTTCTTCATTTAATTATATATTATTATTACTATTACTATTATTGTTATTATTAATTTATTTATTATTTATTTATTCTGTTGTTATAAGAGTAAAATGCTTGTTTGTTTACTTTTAAAAGATAAGAAGAAACGCGACGAGACCAAAGAGAGTCCTCCGCCTGTAGCTGTTCTATGTACTGCAGCAACAAACCCCAAACCCTAAACCCTAAACCCTAAACCCTGAGACAACTACAGCAAATGGGGTACTGGAGGCGATAGAAAGACATGAGAGGAGAAAAAGAATCAGAGAGGCAGCCAGCACAAGGACAAACAAAAAAAATAAACAAACAGAAACAAGCAAACAAAAACAAACAAACAAACAAACAAACAAAAACAAACAAACAAACAGAAAAGAGAGACAACAACCAGACAGGGAGAGAAAATAAGAGAAAGAAAAAGGCACAAAATATACACAAAGACAACAGCATCAAAAAAAGAAAACAAATAAAAGGCAAACAACGAACAAAAAAAGCAAACACCCAAGACAGACGACAAATATAAACAACAAAAAAACAAACACATAAACGAGAGAAAACAAATAAACAAATAAACACAAGGAAAAAACTAAACAAATAAACAAGGAACGAGTAAGAGAAGATAGACAGACAGCAAAGACGAAGACAAAGACAAACAAAAAGAAAGAAGAATTGAAATACCAAGACAATGTCTCTGTTCCTCCTAATCAACATCGCTGACTGATACAGCGGGCTGCTGAAGTCGGGCGAGTCGTGGCGAAACTCCTGCACAGAAATTACGCAATAAATGCACAGACACCTCAGCAGGTGTACAGACACCTCAGTAGGTGTACAGACACCTCAGATAGGTGTACAGACACCTCAACAGGTGTACAGACACCTCAGTACGTGAACAGACACTTCACCAGCTGTACACGCACTTCTCCAGGTGTACATAGACCTCACAGGCTGTGCATACACCTCAAAAGGTGCACATACACCTCTTGAGGTGCACTGACACTTCACCAGCTGTACACACACTTCACGGGGTGTACATACAATTTATGAGGTGTACATACACCGCATGCCCGCATTAGGGTAGCACTTCGCAATCTGTTGATGAAGAATATAATAAATTAGTCAGTGCGCAATGCCTCCCAATGGATGTTCTCCCTGAATTTAAATATATAAAACATGCATATACACCTGCGAGGTGTACGTACACCCCAACGTACCAAAGGGGTATCAGTGGGGGCTGTGCGAGTATGAGAACAAAGACGGTGGCGAAGACAAAAAGCGTGAAAAGTCACGTCGTTGTTCTTCCTCTGAATGTTTATTTGGTCTGCGCACACAAACCCCAAACCCTAAACCCTAAACCCTAAACCCTAAACCTCGACAATCCTCAGCCAGTGAAGCGAAGCCACACCTCACAGGGCAAGCGTACGTACTATTTCCTCCGCTCTCAGCTGCATAGTTAGCTATGAAGAGCCCCTATAGGTAGCTAGCTAGCTAGCTGGTCAGCAGCTATTGCTGCTTTCTAGAGGGGCACTAAGAGCGGCAACGACAGCGATGCATTGCCTCCGCCTTTCGCGCTCCAGCCCCTACATCCCCCTCCACCCCCGCAGGGCTACGCTTCCTCTATGTAGCCGCAGCCAACCTTAGTTAGCTAGCTAGCCAGCTAGCTATCCATCCATCTAGCTAGCTAGCCAGCCACCTACCCAGCTACATAGCTATCTCGCTAGCTAGCTAGCTAGCTACGTAGTTAGCTAGCTAGAATTACGTAGCTAGCTAGCTAACTAGCTGCATAGGTAGCTAGCTAGAAGTATGTAGCTAGCTCGCTAGCTAGCTAGCTAGCTAGTTCGGTAGGTATTTGTGCATTGATTACCTGTGATATTCATGCCGAAGCCAGCCATGACTGCGCATACAGCGTGGAAGGAGAGGCTACATTTCTCGTGGGCACATTGCACAGAGGCGCCAGCGTTAAGACCGCAGACGCAGCAAACTGAGAGGAAGCGCTGGGGATCGATCGACTCCGCCCCACACACCTCCCGACACCCCAACACCCAACACTCAGGCACCCACAATCCGCAGCTTAAGTGGGCCCATAAACCTTCACACACACACAAACCCTAAACCCTAAACCCTAAACCCTAAACCCTAAACCCTAAAGGGGTAGCGGAACGAAACCCTAGTGCTAAGGCTCTCGGCTGTCGCCAGAAACACGCCAAGATATAAACTACACACACCCCACTACTAATAATATGCCCCTAAACCCTAAACCCTAAACCCTAGCTTGCCTTCAGTAGTGCGGATGAGGGCTCCACCTCTTCTAGGGCACAGCACACAGCCCCGAGGCAGAGGCGGAACATCTATGCCGTTGCTCTCTGCGCGCTGCAGCACTGCAGCAGCTTCCGCTGTACGCCAACACAAATACCCCTAAACTCTAAACCCTAAACCCTAAACCCTAAACCCTCAGCCCCGGCTGCATGCAGTCCAGGAGCCAACAACGACGCAGCTGCAGCGTGCACTAAAAACTAAACCCTAAACCCTCGTTGGCGAAGGAGGAGGTTCCTAGGCCTCGTTTTGCTGCGCTTGTTAGCCGCACCTTCCTTTTGTTGTTTGCTGAGGTCTGTGCGTTTGTTTATTTCTTTTAACTTCTCCATTTCTCTTTCAGAGAGCCGCTGCTGTCTGCAATACTCGCAGAACCACTCGCCCTCAGGCAAAGCCCCTATGTTGTAGCAGCTCTGGTGTACCGCAGCGTCGCACCCATCGCATAGCACAATGGCGTCGTCCTGCAAAATAACAAACCCTAAACCCTAAACCCTCAACCCTAAGCCGTCGAACTTGCGCCCTCACGCGCACCAGGACAAGTAGCAGCAACAGCAGCAACAGAAGCAGCAGCAACAGAAGCAGCAGCAGGTGCTGGGGTGTACCGCTGATGTGTCTGAGTTTGCGCAGACATCGCAACGAATGCCATCATCTTGTAAATCTTCGCTGAGGTGTATCCACAGCTTTCTCTGCTCCCCCAGCCTTTGCTTCAACGCAACCCGTGATAGACGGCGAAGCCCCCCCCTTAATTTGTTGGAGACGATCTCCGAGCAGACGGAGGCCACAGAGACAGACGGTAGAGGCCCCTCAAGGACCTCCATAGGCACTAATACCTCTGAACTCTCTTAACAACAATCTGCAACGCCACCGCATGCAAGCATGCGGGAATATGCATGCATGCATGCATGCATGCGAGGATACGCGCAGCGTCCCAGGGGCGCGGGGTCGACCACTGACAATATATGCAAAAGATGCAATCTTTTACAGAAGAGAGCAGAGAAATGACGAAGAGATACGCCCTTAAAGGCAAGAGGTCTTCGGGTGTATAGACAGATGAATCTGCACCGGTTTGTTGGAGGCAGCTCGCGCTAAAATGAGTTCAAATGCTTTTCAGTGTTGTTTGTTACGATTTTCTACTTATCCTCTTTCAGTTACTATTGGGGAAAACAAACTAAACGCCAGGAGCGTTTGCCACGAGCTGCTTCACTCAAGCTTATCTGCTGCTGTTGCTGCTGCAGTTGATGCTGTTGTTGCTGCTGCTGTTGCTGCTGCTGTTTATGATGCTATTGTTGTTGCTGCTATTGGTGGGTAGCTGTCGAATAAACATCTGTACGGCAACTCATGAATGGGTACCAAAGCCACCTGGGGCTGTTTCGTCCGGTGGGGGTGGCTAAGTGGCTCCCCGGGTTCAGGAGAATGCGCATGCAGTTGAGAAGGCAAAGTTGAATAAACAAAAGATTAAAACAAACTGCATGCAGCGAAGGTGAGGCTGAAGATCCCACGGAAACTGAGTGGTAGGAATGGGCGCAGTAACAGGCAGACCACTTGTAGGTGGCCTTGGCGATATTTTCTGAAGATTCAAAGGGCTATTTGCACAAATAATGAATATATGACGAAAAATGTTAAACGCTGGGCCTAAATAATAGATAAAATCAAACACGAACGGATGCATGCCGAGCCACCCAGCCGCCTCATGCGCACGCTCGGGTGTCTGCGCCGACGGCGCCCGAGGGAATTCGGCTTTCAAAAAGGAACTTCATGTGATAAAACGCACATCAATGAAAAAAGCATGTTTTAATTTCCATTGTCGAAAGAAAAAAACATGAAGAAGCCGCGTTTTCCCTAGAAGATCGCGCCTGTTCAACTCGGATGCGTATGCCGTGCATGCCGCCGATAACCACGGTAGTAGTTGTCTGCGGAGCCCCAGAACAATGCGTCACAAAACAGCTGCTTAGTAATACATTTTTCGAAAAAAATCTATTTTTCTGTCGCAGTTATTTGCCATTAGTACAATAAAGAAACGGACGGCAGCTTACGGCTCGATGCCTTTGTTTCTGCGGTGTACATGCAGCTCATTCAAGTCAATGGATCCACGGCTGCCTTTTCTCTCTACATTTCCCACTATCTTTTCGCGCTTATGTTTCTCTTTTGAGATGTATATTTCTCTCTAAACCTTTGGACATCTCTTTGCTCTCGCGTAGGTCTTTTTCCTGCTGAGCTTCCGCAGCGGTTTCCGTGCGTTGCGCGGGGTATTCGACCGCAGATAAAATTGAAATGCGTCTTGTGTGAAGGGCACACCGGTGGCATTTGCCGCTGCAAGACTTCGCTATCGCCTTCACGCTCTTCCTTATGAGCCCTCTCCCCCGTCCCTGCGTTGCAGCTACGCGTTCAGGTATACATGTCGCCGCCAGGGGTTTGGCTCCGTCTGCAAGCTTCCGCTGCCTCCCCTAAAGAAGACTTGCTCGGTTCTGTACTTTACAGAGACCTGCTGAGCAGAACGCATGCGTTGGAGTGTACAGACACCTGAGCAAACCGCATGCATTACAGTGTACAGACAAATTCTGAATCGAACACATGGGGAATCCCCTTCTAAAGCAGTACCATGTTGATAGCGAACCGGTTATTCGAGGTACCCGACATGGACGATGGACTGTAAGTTTGTTGTTCTTTCTCTCTCAGGTGTATGTACAGTCTGTTGTTGCTTTTACAAGCTGCAGACCTACTCTTTTGGATGTTTTTCGTTGTTTTCTGATTTTCTTTCCCTCAGGTGCACAGCGGGTACCACTTGGACAGACCGGCTGTCCCTGTGTCCCTCTTTGTATGCAATTTAAAGGCCCCAGAATTTGCTGCTCTTGCTCCCGAGGGTTCCGTGCTGCAGCAGCTACGCGAGCTGCTGCAGCAGGATGCGCAGCTGCTGCAGCGCCTACGTCACCCTCGGCTGCTGCAAGTGGTTGAGCCGCTGCAGCAAGGCAAAGACTCATGGGTTTTCTGCACAAAACCTGTTCTTACTTCTCTTAGACGTCTCCTAGGGGCCCACACTACCAGAGGGGGGGCCCCTTCGGGGTACTGCCCCCCCGGTGTAGAGAGGAGTTCTAGCGCTTCCGGCAACACCATCACCAGCCTGAGCAGCAGCAGCAGCAGCAGCAGTAGCAGCAGCAGCAGTAGCAGCAGCACCGCAGCCAACAGCAGCGGCAGCAGCAAAAGTCATGGATCTAACGGGCGAGGCCTGGGGTGGCGCGTTGCAGGGGGTGAGGGTTTGTCTTTGTTGGAGGTAAAGTGCGGTTTATTAGATATAGCGGAGGCTCTCTCTTTTCTGCATGGAAGCGCTCAGCTGCTGCACCTGAACGTACACCCGGAGAGTATATTTATTGATGAGAAGGGCCGCTGGCAGTTGGGGGGCCTCTTCTTTGCGCAAGAAAAAACACAAAAAGACGGATCCAAGCCAATCTGTAAATTCACTTGCGGGTCAGCGTCAAAGCTAGGTTTTAGGGTTTAGGGTTTAGGGTTTAGGGCTGATTTATTTGCTTTTCTCCTTGCTTTGGCGCTTTCTTCTCATTTCTTCTGCACTTGCCTTTTTGTTTATTTGCTGTTTATTTGCGTGTTTGTTTGTTTGTTTATCTCTTTGTTTATTACTTTTTGTTTATTCGTTTGTCTCTTCGCTGTTTGTTATATCCTATCTATCTTGTCTTGTTGGGGTGTACGTACACTGCAGATCGGGAGGCGGAGGAGTGGCGCTGTGCCCCCCCCTTCGCTACACCGCGCCTGAGATCTCAGGTGTCTGTCCAGCTGCTGTCTCACCAGCAGCAGATGTATTTTCTTTTTGTCTTCTTGTTTGTGAGTGCCTCGGAGCAAACAACCTCCTTTCGTGCAGAGATGGGGACCTAGAGGCGCACCGCCAACAGGTAAACCCTAAACCCTAAACTCTACAACCTTGAGCTTGTTGTTTTTTCTCGACTGCCTCCTCATACATAACCTGTGTCTGCTGCTGCTGCTGCTGTCGCTGCTGCTGCTGCTGCTGCTGTTTCTTCTGCTGCAGTGTTCGATGCTTTCTCCCGTCCGTTCTTCTGCCTTCCCTCCTGGGTCTCTTTTCCAAGAAGCAGCAGCAGAAGCAGCAGCAGCAGCAGCAGGAGCATCGGGAGGAGCAGCAGCAGCAGCAGGAGGAGCAGCAGCAGCAGCAGCAGAGTTTTTGGATTTGTTGTCTCGGGGCCTCAGCACTAACCCCGCTGATCGCCCCCCCATCGATGTCTTCACAACAAATAAATTTTTGCTGTCTTTAGAGGCGCGCGCTCTGAAATTTTTGACATTTCTGCACGAGAAAGAGCAGCAGCAGCAGCAGCAGTTTCTTGCAGGGCTGCTACCGTTGCTGCAGCAGCAGCAGCAGCTGCAGCAGCCACAAGTCCTTAGGGTTTATGTACTCGATCCTCTCCTTGCTGCTCTTAAATATCCTTCTCTCCTGCCTTCGTTGCTGCCAAACATATTCTGGGTTTTAAAGAAGGTGAAGCAGCAGATTATATATTTTGTTTTTGTATTTACGTTTTTCTTTCTTATTACGGTGCCCCCTTCGCTGGTCAGCTGTATGCATATTCTGTGTCTGTGTTTGTTTGTCTCTTTGCTTGTTTTTATTTATTTTCTTTTGTAGTTTGTTGTTGCTTGGCGCTGTCTCTCTCTGTCTCTGTCTCTGTCTTCTGCTGCACCCTCAGATTCATTTGCCTCCTCTGTTTATATTTTTCTGTTTATGTTTATGTCGTTTATTTTTTTTCTGTTTTTGTTTATTATTTTGTCTTTGTCTTTGTTTGCCTCCTTGGGGCCTTCTTATCAATTTCTGCGTCTCTCACTCTCTCTCGCTTACTTTGTTTATCTGCTTTTCTGTCTTTGTTTCTCTGTTTTCGTCTTTTAGTTTCTATAAACTCCTTTGTATTGTTGCGTGTTCTGATATCTTTGCCTACGTATTTATTTATTTGTTTATTTGTGTATTTGTTTATCTGCACTATTTTGTTTGTTTGTTTAATCACTCTTATTTCTGTGCAATGTTGTGTTAATATATTTATTTTTTATATTAATACGCAATTTTCTGGGTTTGTTTGTGGGTATGCTCTGCACTTCCTCCTCGCACTCTTCACTATGCTTTCTTTTTAAACTTAATTAATTAATTTATTTTATTTTATTTATTCTTTGTTTGCCTCAGCTAGCAAACAAAGAACTGCTCGAAGATTTTGTTTGGCCGCTGCTGCGCCCGCTGCTAACTGCGAGAGAAATTCAAGTTGAGGCTGTCATTCATTTGGTCAGCAGCATCAACACCTAATAAACCCTAAACCCTAAACCCTAAACACTACTACTACCCTTGATTTATTCTTTCTTTGTTCTATATATATATATATATATATATATATATATAGATGCTAAACCCTCAACCCTAATCGTGCAGATATGAACAACGCGAGAAAAGAGCAAAGCATAATTGTATTTGTTGCTTGCAGCTAATTGAATTTAAATTCTTATCGGACAATCTAAGCAAAGAAATCTGCAGTAAAGAGCTTCTGCCCTTCTTGCTGAAGTGTCTAGACATTCAAGTTGGTGGTTCACTGGAGCCCTTCTCAAACCCTAAACCCTAAACCCTAAACCCTAGTTTGCCTGTGCAGACCGTCTACAAGCCTCGCAAGCACGTAACCACTTTGGAAACCCAAGAAGGTCCCACACTGCAAGCCTACAGGGTCTGCAGCACTAGGGTTTAGGGTTTAGGGTTTAGGGTTTGTGTTGTTTGCTGAAGGCCACTGAAATCCAAAAGACAGCAGTGGATGTCTTGAGGGTTTGTTTTGCATCTTTTGGGTACTCCGACTACCGCACTCTGTTCTTGCCGCGCATGCTGACGCTTATTGCAAATGCAGGTAGAGAAAGCCTAGGGTTTAGGGTTTAGGGTTTAGGGTTTGGGGTTAAAAGCTTAGGGGTTCGGGTTTCGGGTTTAGGGATATTTGGTGCTTAGAGTTTGGGGTTTCGCGCTGTGGATTTCCGGTTTAGGGTTTAGGGTTTGGGGTATAGGGTTTAGGGTTTAGGGTTTAGGGTTTCGGGTGTGGGGTGTACGTGCAGAGAGCGAGGAGGTGCGAGTGAAGTGTTTGGAGTGTCTCAGTGCAATGACGCCTTCCTTCGATCGTTCAATCGTGGAGAATCAAATTCTTCCCGTGTTGTTGCAGGTACAATTCACCAGGTGTATATCTTGGAGTGTATATGCAGCTTTTCAGGTGTATAGGCAGCTCTTGAGGTGTATATACACCAAAGCCAGTCAGCAACAAGGAGATTGCTTGAATGGTATATTTATTTAGTTAATCATTTTGTTTGCTTATTTTTAATTGGTTGCTGTTTCTTGTGCGCGTTTACCCGCATCTGTTTGTCTTTTATTGCATTTATTTTGATGCGGTGCTGCTCAGGCCTTGCGCCGTTCTCGTTCAGCTGCTCTTTGTTTGTCTCTGAGTCGCTGTTCTTCTGCTTTATGCCGCTGTCTCCCTCTTGAGGCCGTAGCAGAAAAAGTGCTGCCTCTCCTAATGTCGCTCCTACGTACGCTGCAAACCACTCTAAACCCTAAACCCTCACTTGAACGCTCAATCCTAAACCCTAAACCCTCAGGCAAACCCTAAAGCCTCAGCCATGCGCATGCCACATATAGTGTATATATATTTGCGCTCGCGGAATAGGGGGTAGCTGAGTTAACATACAACTGATTCAGAGGGTAAACCCTAAACCCTAAACCCCAAACCCCAAACCCCATTTTGTGTGTTGCGTCTGCAGTGGACGACAGTTTAGCTCTTGAGGACTACCAGGCCATCGACAAAGAAGTTAAAGGCATCATGCAAAAGGCAGGGTTTAGGGTTTAGGGTTTAGGGTGTAGCATGATAGGGTTTAAGCTCTAAGGGTTCAGGTTAGGGTTTATTTCGGTCCTCCAGGCATGCTGAGGGTTTAGGGTTTAGGGTTTAGGGTTTCTGACTCAGGTGGATGAAGACCGCCGGAGGCATTTTGCTCTGAAGGCAGTAAGCCGTGAAGCTTGAAGACTAGGGTTTAGGGTTCAGGGTTTAGGGTTTGCATGTTTCTTTTAGTCGAAGGCGCCGACGTTCTTTGGCCGCCTTAGTGCTTGGAGGAGGCCCCGTTCGCACCGGTTTAGGGTTTAGGGTTTAGGGTCTGCCATTGTGTGCTGCATGTGATATCCTGCAGGAGCAGCAGTCGGCCGTTGCTGCTGTCCTTCCCTGTCCAGCAGCAGCTCCTGCTGCTGCTGCTGCAGCTGCTGCTGCACCTCCTTTGTCTACTCCAGCGATATCTCTGGAGTCGTTTTTCTCACAAACAGCAAATTCAATAACAACAACAGCACAGCAACAGCCTTCGGAGCCTTTTAAGCCTCCACCCCCTCCCCCACCCCCCGTAGCTATGCAGCAGCAGCAGCAGCAGCAGCAGCAGCAAGAGCTGGAGAGCGATGTGGAGCAGCTTTTCACTTCTCTCTCGGCCCGGCTTCAGCCATGCATTCGTAGCCCGGCGGCAGCAGCAGGCAGCAACACAAGCAGCAGCAGTAGCAGCAGCAGCACTGCAACGAAGCCCTTTTGCCCTGCGCCTAATAGTCAGTTAGGATTGGAGGAAATTCTTGCTGCTGCTGCTGCAGCTGTGCCGCAGTCAACATCGCCGTGAGTCTGGAAAAGTAGCAGCAACAGCAGTTGCTGCAACAACAGTTGCAACAGCAGCAGCAATAGGACCAACATCTGCGGCAGGAGCAGCAGCAGGACCAGCAGCAGGAGCAGGAGCAGCAGCAACAGCAGCTGCTGCTGCTGCCGCAAGTGCAGCATTATTTGTGTATATTTAGTGCTTTAGTGTGTGTGTGTCTATGTTTGCTGCTTCCCCTCAGAGTGCTAGGAGGCCTGATGGGTTCAAGTCCTGCGGCTAGCCAGCTAGCCATGAGTACACCGCAGCTAGCTGGTGCTAATCTATCTTCTTCTTCTTATTCTTCTTCTTATTCTTCTTCTTCTGACCCTTTTGCGGGTTTGCAAGCGGAAGGAAATAAAACTAATAATAATTCAAATTGGGGGACTGCAGGGAACTGCAACGGCGACAGAAATAACTGGCATCTCGCACCGACACAAACATCTGCTGCAGCAGTGAGACACCAAACAGCAGCAGCAGCAGCAGCAGCAGCAGCAGAAGCAGCAGCAGATATCTGCTGTTATCTGTGTAGTTGTGGTTGCCGATGTAATTCCAAAAGTAAAGTCAAACAATTCTTCTGCGAGCACCACCCTCTCTGTTGCTGTTGAAGTGAACAACTCTTATTAAGACTGTTGCTGCTGCTGTTGCTGTTGCTGCTGCTGCAGGTACAGCGGGACCCCTTTGCGGGTTTATCGGATATGTTAGGGGGTTTGCCTGCAAGCAGAGGGCTCGGCCATCCTGCTGCTGCCTCGAACCTGAATAGAAGCAGACAAGAACCCTCTGCTGCTGCTGCTGCTGCTGCTGCTGCTGCTGATCCGTTTGCAGCTTTGACAGATGCAGCACTACGTACAAATGCAGCAATCACTCCAAACAGAAATATAATAAAAGGAGTTAATGCAGACCCCTTCTTTGATTTGGGGGCCCTAGGCGGCGACACCATTGCGAGTAAAGAATCAAACAGAATTTAAACGAAAAAACTTTTTGTTTGTTTGTTCATTTGCTTGTTTATTTGTCTGTCTGTTTGTCTACTAGTCGCGTTTACTTGTCCCTCTCTTCTCCGCCTCGTCTACAAAGAGAATACTGCTACATCAGCAAATGCTGCTACTTTCGCTTTGCTTTCATGCATGCGGCGCTACGGCATATCTGCATGCATGCATGCATGCATGCACGGTTTAGTGCTTGCTTTTGTTGGGTCTGGAGTCTCCCTGTCGCCACAAACAAAGGAAGTATCTAGGGTTTAGGGTTTAGGGTTTGGAATTAGGGTTTCAAGTTGCATCAGCCTGCACTCGGTGTATCTGTTCAGTGAGACATCTTTGGGTTTGCTGCTGTCTTCCTTCTTGCAGCCCGCTACTTATATCGAAATAAATATAAATATATATATATA